TCATTAGACCTGTTCAAATCTGCAGTTAACTGTAAACAACGACACACTTTGCATTTGAAATGTCTATTTAGAGAGCTTTGGTTTGCTTTTATACTTATTGTCTCATACAGAGAAAAATGAATGAGGAATTAACACCCTCCAACTATAAGCTTTTCATCTTTGCAGGTACTAGTTGGGAAAGAAAATATCTGAGAGTTTTAGTGAAATTGTTTTAAAGGGGAATCATTCAGATTATTGATTCAGTTCCCTTTATAGAACAAGTCACAGGGTACTGTATGAAAGTAAACTGCCTATTCTCTAAAAATAAACAAGACTAGAAATATCTTCTTTAAAGGGTTTTTAAAAAATGATTATTATTATGTGTGTGTGTGCTTTGTGCACATGAGTGCAGGTGCCCTTGAAGACCAGAAGAGGGCATCAGATCCCCTGGAGCCAGAGTTACAGGCAGTTGTGAGCTGCCAGATGTGGGTTCTGGTAGCTAAACTCTGGTCCTTTGCAAGAGCTTACGCATTCTTATCCTCTGAGCCATCTCTTTCACATGGCTGGAAATGTCATTGTGTTCTTGTTTTGTTTTGTTGTTGCTGTTGTTTTTCAAGACAGGGTTTCACTGTGTAGCCCTGGCTGTACTGGACCTCACTCTGTAGATCAGGCTGGCCTTGAACTCAGGTCTGCCTGCCTCTGCCTCCTGAGTACTAGGATTAAAGGTGTGTGCCACCACTGCCTGACTTAATTTTCTTCTCGCTCTCTCTCTCTCTCTCCTCCCTCCCTCCCTCCCTCTCTCTCTCCCTTACCTCCCTCTCTCCCATTTATTTGTGTATTTTATGTGTGCAGATGTTTTGTCTTCACATCAGAAGAGGGAATCAGATTCGATAGGACTGTAGACAGTTATAGATGACTGTGAGTCACCATACATGTTCTTGGAATTGAATTCAGGATCTCTGGAAGAGCAGCCATTGCTCCTAACAACTGAGCCATAGCTTTAACACCTTTTGGTACCCTATTGCCATGTGATTTCTGAACTAAAGTGGACTCATCATTGAGGATCTTAATATGTTAGTTACTTTTCTCATTGCTGTAGTAAATAATAGGTTTTCTGTATTGTGATAATAGGTTTCTCCATGGATTCAGTAAGCCAGATCAAGCCAAATTTAAAAAGTAAAAGAACAGGTTTGTTTGAGCAAAGCAACTCCCAGGCGAGTCCTTCAGTCCCAGAGATGGGAGAAGTCATGGTGGAACTGAAGCAGGGAACTTATATAGCCTGTAGGCGAGGGGTGATGATGTGTCCGCCACAAGCTGGGTTTCTGCCCAAGTATGGCCAAAAGCTGACCACTTCAGGTGGGGCTTGGGCTGCTGGCAGCTTCAGGGGAGGAGCTGCTGCAGCTGCTGAGAATGCAGAACTGGGCTTTTTGGTGCCTTTTCTTTGTTGGAGATTCTCTGAGAGGGTGGGGTTTGGAGAGAGAGGAATGGGGCTTTTCAGATCAAGCAGGAGTGAGCTGGAGGTTCCAGCCGAACAATAAAATACCTGCCAGGAGCAACTTAAAGGAGGGAGGTTTATTTGGGTTTATGGTTTGGAGAGGGGTGTGTGTCTGGTCCATCATGGAGGCAAACACCTGGTAGAAGGCTCCCTATGTGGTGGGAGCTCACAGCAGTTTCTCATTACATGGTTCTCACTATGAGAATGCTCAGTCAGAGGTGGGACTGGCTAAAATCCTTGAGGTCCACACACCCGTGACCCAGTTCCTTCAGCCAGGCTCCACCTTCAAAAGGCTCCACAACCTCCTCACAAAGTGCCATTGGGTGCAGACAGAGAATTCAAAACACAGGAGTCTGTGGGACACACTTAATATATAAACCATAGGAGTCGCTAGTACTGTTAGTTATTCGGCTGCGCTGTGTTCTTACCCTGCATGGAAATGTCCGCTAATAAGAGTTTTATTAAAGATAAAGGGACAGAGAGTGAACAGGCCTGCGGGAAACACGTGTGTGGAGGAGGAGGAGGAGGAGGAGGAGGAGGAGGAGGAGGAGGAGGAGAAGAAGAAGAAGAAGAAGAAGAAGAAGAAGAAGAAGAAGAAGAAGAAGAAGGACCAGGAACATGGCGCCAGATTTTAAAGGCTGGCTGTGGACAGATCAACGTCACTACTACACCACAAGCGCGTAGATCACATGGCCACCGTTGCGCGCCTACGTAGCCAATGGAACGTCACGGATCTTGGTCACGCGAGATGCCCTGACCCGGAAATGGCTATCCTGACCTGGAACTGGCTAGGCGGAAGTGTCCGTTGGGCATATGAGAACACACCCGACCGTGGATGCGTGTTGTAAACCTTTCAAGTACTGCTCACTAGAGGACCCGGATGACACACCACTGATTGCCAAGGTGTCTGGCTGCTGCCTATAGCAGCATAGAGAGGACAGGGATGCTGAGATACCGGTTAGTGCTTTTCAGGTTTGTTTCCAGCCTCCTTATTTGAAGACAGCAGAGAGAAAAAAAAAAAGCACATTTTTTTTTTAAAGGACCTAAAAGTCTAAAATCCTATTAGCAAACCTGTCTTGGAGTTAAAAAGAGAAAAAAGGAAGCCCCCATCACCCTGGTTGGTTCTGAACCTTGGTTGTTGGTGATAATTGACTCATTCATATGAGTTAGTTACACATTTGTCAAAGCATGCCTCCTGACAGCTTAGTTATAATAAATTAAACACGGTACTCACATAAATTCTGCACTGCTCTTTATCCATAGGCTGGGACCCTGCCTGATTTTTTTTTTTGTCACTGCTATAATATGCAACTGGCTTTGCAGTGATTTCATTATCAGCCCTTCCCCTATAGCTAAAGCTATTTGCATAACAAGTCTATCAGGTTCAAGTACCTGCCAGACTTCTCCTGTGTTAAGAGGCTCCCTGCAGAAATAGCCTTTTGATAAGATAACAATAATTTTCATTTGCTGACTCCACCTTGGTCCCCAGGGATGCCTCCTTCCCCCTTAAGTTCAACCTAATTTAAGGCCTTTGGTCTAAGAAGTAAAAAAGACCTTTCTGACCGAAAGGTCTTAGTGAGCTATGCTCTTTCGTTTTGTCTCTCAAACTCGTGAGGTTTTTATTAGGAGTTAGTTTCAGGACATCAATGGCTCTGAGCTGATTAGTGAGACAATAGAGATGGATTTGCTTTTGTTCAGGGCAAATCCACCAAGAGCATCCTGCCTGCTCAGCCCAGTGAGGATGCTGTGTGATCACCCCCATGAAATGCTGTTTTGGGGTGGCTGCTCTGGCAGAGTAGAGAAGAAAAGTATTGTCTCTTTCTTACTCACTCCAAGATGCAAGGTGGACACTCACCTGACAAATGTCTTTAGTACAAACGTCATGTGACTTTCAGAAATTGTGTGACTTTCAGAAATGAAGTTCTAAAGACACAGGGAACCTGGGTGTCCCTTGGTTTCACCAAGAATGCAAAAGTAGGGCTGAGCAAAAGGGGGTCGGACCTATTGGTGACAGACTGGGGGACTCAGCGAAGTGTCTCCTTAACCTCTCATTATAACCTTCATCTTGGGTTTTCTAATAGGGAAACTCGGAAGGGTCCTCCTCAATTTGTAAACAGTTCCTGTTTGGGGGAATGTTTCTGGTCCTCCAGTCAGCGGCTAACATGCAAGAATGTCTCTCTCCTTGACTGAGCACCATGCCTGAGCCCTTCCAGCCAGTTACAGGATATTGGGGTATTTTTCCAGTAGCTTTCAGATGACACTCAGATAGATAGAAGCAGCTGCCCCGAATATTATTAGAATGTTATTACTGACCTGGGGAAAGGGTGTTTAAACATATTTAACCTTTTAAGACCGTGACCCAGATTTACAGCTCCTGCTTCCTCTGCAGGTCTCCCTGTTGACTGGCTGTTTCCTCTGGCTGTTTCTCTCAAGCCAGCAGTTCTCAGCTCTGTCTTTCTCCACTCTGTGTTTCAAACTGCTTAACTCTACCCAGCTTTACAACATCAACGAACTATGCACAATAATACATATCCTAACCTAGTGACTTATTACAGTCCGCAGAATTCTCAGGCTTTTGCGTCTCCTTAGAATCCCAGGAACCATACAAACGGTTAGTTCCTCCAGAAGCAGAGTGAGTCCACCATAACCTTTATTTACATCACTTCACACGTTGGTAACTTTAATTAAAATAAGCAGCAGTATCTCCAGTGACACACTCTCCATTTTGGATTTATTGAGCCAATGATTAGCAATTGTGGCTTCTTGACTTAATTAGCATCACTTGAGCTACAGGGAATTAGTAGATTAGTAAAAACTCATAGAAAAGGTTGGAATATTCTAAATTAAAACCTGATAAACTCTCCTTTGCCCTCTTCATGGGTATTGATCTGTAGACTTATAAATGAAAACTGAGTCCTGATTTTGAAAAATTGTGATTTTCCCCTCCTTCATGAGAAGAATAAAGTTATGATTTCAAGGTTATACTTCTAAGAGGTGTCTAATTTAGATTACATGATGGGTCTTGTAACTTTCTGGAAGTTTTGCATCATTAATGCTGTGACTGTATCCTGTGGCCACATCTTATTGCAAAGGAAGATAAGAAATAGTCCCTGGGTTGAGCAGCAGTGGGTCCAGATCATGACCACCATCCCTAAATGAAGGGAAGAGCATATGAAGAGACAGCCATTGGTATCAAGTCGGTGGGTAGGGAGGGTGCACGATTCCAGAGAGCCAGCAGCCAGCAAGTGGTAAGGCTCAGTATTCTTACTAACAGCCGCTAGGGGTCTGGAGGGAGAATGGGTGGAATCCACTAGGCGGTCATAACAGAAGGGGGTCTGGAGCTGAGGAGGGCTTTTTATCATAACTCCACCCAGGCTGGTCTGGAAGAGATGGAAAACGGGCCACTGGTAGGGATAGTGGAGTGGCTGTGTGGCTAGCTCTCTAGTCGTTAACACACAGAACTTTAACCCCTCAAGACTGCACATGCTGTTCCTCTGTCCCAAGCACTCTTCCCTCTGCTCCTCACCTGGAGCTCGCCTGCTCAGGTAGCACTGTCTCCGAGACAGGAGTCACCGACATCCTCCTAGTGTCCGTCACTGTCTGATCATGCTGGGTGGTGGTACCCCTCTGGAACGGTACCACCCAGAAAATGTTCAACAGAGCCCTGGGAAGAACACATGAGCAGTTAAGAGAACCGAGAAATGAGAGCCAGACCCTGGCCTTGGGCTCCTGCAGACAAGCATGGGACATGTCCCTGTTATGTGAATGTTAGGTTTAACAGGGCCTGGACTTGTGAGAGGCAGGGACTTGAAGCCCAGCTCCACAGAGTGAAGCAGGGAAGAGCAGCTGAATGTTCAGTCTCATGGATGGCAAAGAGGGGGGAAGAGAAACCGTAGGTTTGTTTTTGGCTGGAAGCACAGGGCTCTGGGAAATGGAATTCGTTATAAATCCCCGTATTCCACAAGAAAGGAAACTGGAGGGCTAGGGAGGTGGCTCAGTGGGTCCAAGTGCTTGCTGCCAAGCCTGCCCACCTGAGTGCAAGCCCTTGAACCCATGTAAAAAGCTGGATGTGGTGGTGTGCACTTGTAATCAACACTTCTACCGGGAGATGGAGAGACAGGAATTCCTTGGAAGATCTCTGGCCAGGCAGCCTAAAGTACACACCACAGAGGCAGAAACAAGAGAACCTGCCTCAAAACAGAGTGGAAGACCCCCCCAAAATAGTTTCGTGATCTCCATTTATCCTCTGGACTCCACATACACAGGCATGTATGTGACTGCATTCACACACATGGATGGAATGAGGAAGGAAGGGAGGACGTCCCTCCTGGGGTTTTTCCCAAGAGCTGTGACATTCTCCTGTGTCTACATAGCACCCAGCCGCCTCCTTTCTCCTCTGTTCCCTGGCTGCTGCTGTTCCCAAGGCCCCTTCCACAGTGGGGCTTCCACAGGTGGTGGGGGAAGCAGGTCAGAAGAAAAGCTGGCTCTGGGTCACTTAGAAATGTAATTAGAAAAGGAAATGCAGGCCCATGTGACCAATCCTACATTTTTCCAGCCTGCTGGTGACTTTTAGATGGGATAAAAATAGCAGACATAGCCCTTTGGCTGGAAGAAAGGGCTGCGTGTGTGTGTGCGTGTGTGTGTGTGTGTGTGTGTGTGTGTGTGTGTGTGTGTGTGTGTGTGTGTGTGTTTTGTGGATTTATAATTTACAAGAATAGCATTAAATACAAGCAGTTGCCAGGCCGCCTATTCTATTTTATGTGTTTTCTATTGCCTTCTTGGTATTTTAACTCAGAATTTCCTAAGATTATCAAATGCATGATACTTAGCTGCCATACTGGGTTAATGAGTGAGGAAAATCATAATTGGAATTTTTTGTTATTGTTGTTATTGAGACAGGTCTTGTTATATAGCACAGGTAGCATGGAAATCAAATTCCTTCTGCCTCAGCTGTAGCTGGAGTTTTCTCTAGTCCTGCCTGGCCCACAGTCAGGACAAATCTCTCTCACCCGCCAGTCCCACAGCCGCTCAGACCCAACTGAGTAAACACACAGAGACTTATATTGCTTATAAACTGTATGACCGTGGCAGGCTTCTTGTTATCTAGTTCTTCTATCTTAAATTAACCCATTTCTATAAATCTATACCTTGCCACATGGCTTGTGGCTTACCAGTATCTTACATGTTGGTACTCATGGCGGTGGCTAGAAGCATCTCCTGACTCAGCCTTCCTGTTCCCAGAATTCTCTTCTCTGCTTGTCTATACTTCCTGCGTGGCTACTGTCCAATCAGTATTTTATTTATACAGAGCAATATCCACAGCAATCAGCCTCCTAAATTCAAGGATTACAATGTATGTCATTATGACCAGCATGATTTGATTTTGGATTGAAAGGGTATTTATTGAATTCGAAAATAGTTTTATTTAAAAATAGATATTTTAGCCGGGCGGTGGTGGCGCACGCCTTTAATCCCAGCACTCGGGAGGCAGAGCCAGGCGGATCTCTGTGAGTTCGAGGCCAGCCTGGACTACCAAGTGAGTTCCAGGAAAAGGCGCAAAGCTACACAGAAAAACCCTGTCTCGAAAAACCAAAAAAAAAAAAAAAAAAATAGATATTTTAATGAAATAATGGAAATTCTGCCTTTAAGGAAGTATGGAAGCTTAAATCACCGGGCAGGAACAGTGCTCTGAATACTGGCTTTCACCTCTCAGGCTGTGGTTTGAATGGTATCCCTCAAAATCCACATGATTTAACCCTCAGTATCTCAGATGTGACTTTATATGGAAATAGGCCTTTCCAGATGAAATTACTTAAGATGAATGCATATTGAGGCAGGATGGGTCCTAACTCATTATAATAGGTATCTACATAAAATAGAGAGATTTAGGTGTTGTATTAGTCAGGGTACTCTAGAGTAACAGAACTTACATATCTTGGTCAGTGTTTTTTTTTTTAAGATTTATTTATTTATTATGTATACAGTGTTCTGCGGTTGCTGGGAATTGAGCCCAGGATCTCTGGAAGAGCAGCCATTGCTCTTTACCCCTGAGCCATCTCTCCAACTTTTGGTCAGTGTTCTATTGCTGTGAAGAGACACCAAGACTGTGGCAACTCTTCTAAAAGAAAGTATTTGATTGGGGCTTGCTTACAGTTTCAGAGATTTAGTCCATTTTATCATCATGGCGGGGAGCATGGCGGCATGCAGGCAGACCTGGTGCTGGAGCAGTTGAGAGTTCTACATCAGATCTGCAGGCATCAGGAAAAAAGAGAGACTGTGCTTGGCGTGGGTTTCTGAAACCCCAAATGGATTTCTGAAAACCCACCCCAGTGACAGAATTCATCCAACAAGGCCATACCTCTTAATCCTTTCAAATAGTGACACTCCCTGGTGACCAAGCACTCAAATCTATGATCCCATGTAGGCCATTCTTATCCAAACCACCACAGAAGTAGTCTCAGAGAGAGCATGTGCAGCCTGGACTCAGGCTGTCTCTCACTAAGAGGCTATCAGAAGCTAGAGACCCGTGAGACGAGGAATGTCTGCTGCTGAAGTCACTCAGTTTGTGATACTTCTTATAGCAGCCCCCGGCAATTAACACCCTGTGACTAGTTATAGGACTGCAGGTGATTTGATATTCCAAGCAAGGATAGCAATGTTTCCCCCCCTGCCACAGAAGTAAACGTCAAGGGTTAGCCCTGTGCCACACAGAATCTTCTCCTTTCTTCTTCACTTCTTCTCTTCCTTCCTTTCACTTTCTTTTCTTTCTTTTTGTTGTTGTTTAAGTATATATACATTATTAAGGCTCATGGTAAATCCTCTGTCTCACGCACACTGCAGAATAGTGAAAATGGGGAATTTCTATAATTGTTAATGATTTGTGGACCTTGACAGAGGCCTGGGCATGAAGATGTCTTGGTCACAAAAACCTCAAGAGGAACACATTATCATAGGGAGATATAGCAAACTGACCTCACCTTGTACCCAGTACTGACCAGGAGGTCACCATCAAGCTGCGTTGAGAAGGATCTCATAAGTCACTCTGGTCCCTAGGGATGCAGGCATGGACTAGAGTCATTTAGTGATAGCTGTTATAGGCTTACTGTTGCTCAGTCTTTGCGGTCATAAAGTTTACTTTTTTTTTTTGAGACAGAGTTTCTCTGTGTAGCTCTGGCTGTCTGGAACTCTCTTTGTAGACCAAGCTGGACTCAAACTCATAGAGATTCACCTGTCTCTGCCTACTGAGTGCTGGGATTAAAGGCATGCACTACCACTGCCTGGCTACATTTCTTTTTAATTATGACTAAATTTTCTGCTATTTGAAAATCCTTTGTGGCAAATATATATATAGCTTAATTTAGCCAAAGAAAACCAATTTGCTTATGTTTAGTAAATCCTAAAAGATGCGTGCGAACTAAAACAAATTGTTAGATAAGTTTGAGGAGGTACAAATAATCATTTTTTTCAATAAGCTTTTCCCTGAATGGTGCCAAAGATTGGACTCAGGGCCTCACACATACAACTGTTCTAATCACCGAGCAACACCCCAGACCTTACACTAAGCTTCACCTACAGGTACCATGTGTCTGGCAAGGTGGAACGTACTTTGCCTGTGTGATTTCACCCGATCCTAACTGCTGCTAAACAGGTGGTTGACCACTCACATGGGAAGCCAAGCTTCTTGAGAGATGGGATTCAAACCCAGGTTTCCATGGTGTTCCAATATCTTCTCTGGGGATTAAGATGCTAGCATGTGTTTATGTGTCTAACATTAACCCTTTAAAAGCTATTCTGTGTGTGCCTGTGTTCTTGCTCATGCTGTACATGTGTGGAGGCACCGGGTGGATGTCAGCTGGTTTCTTCTTTTGCTCCACATCATGTACAAGCCAGTGCACATCCTTGACAACTGAACCATAGTCATCACCTCTTGCCCAGCTCAGTCAAGTGTGGAGCTCTTCTATCAAATGGATGCTAAATGATGGAGTGCCAATTTATCATTGACCACGTGAAAAGAGATGCCTCATCGTTGAGTTTTAAGGCAAACTACCTGAAAACGGTTTTCTTTCTCACAATAACAAAACGAAGACCAACCAACCAAACAACAAAATAAAACTTCTCTTTGCTGGAAAAACTCCTTCCTGAGAGAAAAGAGGCTGATGAGATGGGGCTGGAGGAACTGGGAGGCGCTGGTCCAAACTAGGAAGGATGGCACCGTTATAATGGAGCAGTGGATGAGGGGGACGCTCGTCATGGCTGAGGGGTGGTCTGTGTCCAGCCTCTGAGTAACTCACTGCTGACATTTTACATGCAGAAGTGAGTTACTTTACTTTACATGGGTGAAGGCCTGGGATCATACTATGCCTGTGACTTGCTATTGTTTTGATTTTAATAGTCACCTGGAGGAGAATTTTGCAAGCTAAGTGAAGAATAAACACAAATATGAAACTCTGACTTTGCCCTGTATATATAATGAGTTCTGTGCACAAGATGAATTTAGAGTAGCCTGTAAAAATGACTTTAAGAAGTTCTCCCTAGTGACAATTACCTCCTAAGATTCGGCGGTGTATATGGACAGGCTTAGGCTGAAATGCTAAGTGTACGTGTTGACTCTGTTGTTGGCTATAGAATCAAAACTCTGTATTAAACTGGTAATTAGAAAAAGAAAGAAAATGTAGAGGAGCGTTGGTCTACCCAGTTGCTTGTGTTGAGTGGATGCGCTGTGGTGCTCCTATGTTTTAAGTTCTAAATTCTGCCATTCTTGAGAGTTGTATAACTCAAACGCCATTCTTAAAGAAATTTATTGTGGTGGGCAATGGTGACACATGTCTTTAATCCCAGCACTCCGGAGGCAGAGGCAGGCGGATCTCTGTGAGTTTGAGGCCAGTCTGGTCTACATAGTGAATTCAAGATAACCAGAGCTATACAGAAAAACCCTTTCTTGAAAAACAAAACAAAACAACAACAACAAAAAAGAAAGAAAGAAAAGAGAGGAAGAAAGAAAAGAAAAGAAAAGAAAAAGGAAACTTATCACAAGAGCTGCTCATTAAGGGCATTACTTATAGAACTGCATTCCTGGCTGCGCCATCTTAAGATGCATGTGTGTGTCCATGCATGCAAGTGTTTGCATGTGTGTGTGCATGTAAGTGTGTGCTTGTGTGTGCAAGTGTTTGAGTGCATGTGCATATGTGCACACACAAGTGAGTTTGTGTATCCGTGTGTGTGTGGTGTGTGTGTGTGTGTGTGTGTGTGTGTGTGTGTGTGTGTGTGTGTGTACTGTATGCATAAGAACTATGTTAGCCAGTTCTGCTTATATTTCTTCTCTTCTCTTTGGAGCATGAGCGGTGCTTTCCAGAGCTGAGAAATTTAGAGATTAAATGAAGAGACCTGGACACAGAGAAGCAATTTGCATGTATAATCCAGGAGGGTGTTACAAGCTTCCTTTAAGCCATTTATTTGACTTAGGTACCAAAGTAACTGTAATTTAATGCAGAGAATATAGCAAATTATAATGAACAGCTTTCTAACTGCATCCTATGTTCATATGCTAAAATCTGGATACCGGAATTTCAGCAATTGCTGAAATGTATGAAAGTCTCCTTAATATAATGCTTATAAAGCAAAAAGACCCCTTGAACCTCTGCAGTGGCACCATGCTAGTAAATAAGTGTCACTATAACTGTCCAGCAGTAGAATGTATGGCACCAGGAGTGAACGCTAAGGCAAACTGTGGGCTCTAGGTGATGATGATGTCTCCTCTCAGGTTGATCAACTGTAATAAAGTACAGTTCCTGTCCGGGCTGGTGTCAATGGGGCTCTAAGCAGATGGGAGCAGAGAGCAAGAGAGACCCTGTGCCTTCCTTTCAAACTTGTTGGGAACCCGAAAGTGATCTAATAATGAAGCCTTTAGTAAGATAAAAAGGCCTTTACTAGAGTAAGCCTTTAGTAAGATTAAAAAAGGTAGCAGAAAAAAAAAGCCCTGTGCATGTTTCTTCTCTAACTGAAACCATATGGGAATTTATTGGGAAAACGGGAGTTGGTGGCATTCTGTTATTACAATATTTATCATACAGTTATGGAAGGGAGTAATTTATGATCCTTGCTTGCAAAGCCAGATCAATACAGAGATAAATGTCCTTGCCACAATAGAATTTATATCATCCACGTGATAATTGACCACTGTGTCATCTGTCCAATCATTCATTTCATTATCTGATGGGACTAGTGGAAGGCTGATATGGATGTGATTTATTAGTGCACACCAGTGGGAAGCCATTGGTCCAGCTTACCTCTTACCTGTCCTTGGCAGCACAGACCACAGTTGTCTACCTCCAGCTGCAAGAGGCCGCAGAAAAAGTCACCCGCCTTGTCCCACACTGGGCATCTCTTGTTGAATTAGAAGCGATCTTCCATTTCTTACGCTTGTGGAGCCTATCCCATTTCTGCCCCCTAAGCACAGCAGTCTGCCTAGAGCAGCGGAGCTCAGGTAGCTGCTCTAAAGAGAATCTTTATTGTCACTAATTTCAGTTATGTTTTGTGACATTATCATTCCATATCGCCTGTTTATGCTTGGCATCAAGACACATGACTTAAAACTCAGAGCATACTCCAGTACAGGAAAAGGGAATCGATAGGGTCTATGGGGACCAAAAGTTGGACACGTGAGAAAGAAGACCAGAAAGCTCACTGAACAACCCATGCAGGGTTAGTTCCCCAACAGGGGGGGGGGTGGAAAAAAAAAAGAACCGATTCCAGCAGCCCCTTCGGTTCTCTCAGCCCCCTGGGAACACTCACTGCCTGCAGTATCTGTGATTTGCCTTGTGAGGGTTAATCAGTGGGCCTATTATTCAGCAAATTAAAGGCTTGGCTGCCAGAGAGTTCCTTTCAGAAAGGATTAGGGTCTCTGATGAGGCTTTGAAGTAATGGATGGAGCTGTTCTGCTAATGGAGGAGGGCTAAGGACTCCCTGGACTCCCCTGGCAGCCAGTGTGGTGTCTTTATTCAGTCCCTTGCCTAAAAAAAGAAAAAAATATTTTCTCTTGCAAAAATGTGATGCTCACACAAGGCGCTGGATTGACATCCCAGCGGGTGGGGGTCGGGGGGCACTTCTTTCTGTTGTAAGAGTACACACAGAAGTGCTTCCTGGCTGCTGTGGGTGGCAGCGTCCAGAGGAAGAACCATTTCTCCAAAGAGCAGCAACAGGAACCAGTGGGGTCTTAGAGTTTATTGTCCTTTAAAAGGCTTTGGCTCGG